TAAGGAACGTCTAAAACGAAAAAATGCAAAGAACAAAATAGTCTTAGAATTAGTCAAAGAATACGTGTGAATTTTTTCAGATTTTTTTAAACAAATTTTTTTAGTTATAAACAATAAATTTGTTAATAACTTTTAAAATACCAATTTTAACGCTTGGTAACCAAGCTAAATCGATTCAGCACACCAAAAAACCTATAAAAAGCTTTGGTTACCTTAAGGACCTGAAAATGCATACTCGACCCATAGCTGGCGCCCGGACTATTTGTTATTGTCATTAAATATTGCAACCGCGACGAAACAAAATGCAAAGTTTCACGAACGTCAAGATAACACAGGGATAATCCAAATAACGTACTAAGAAATGGGTGTTCACGTTTTCGTTTGAGGTGGATGCGACTGCCAAAAAATCTAATCTCAGCTCAGATTAACTCGTAATACAGAAAGGAAACAGGTGGCAATTATTGTAACGCGCGCCTGTAAGTCCGCTTCGTTTTTGCACGAGCTCCGATTGGCTGTCTCCCCCCGCGTGCATGGGTTGGCACTTCCAATGTTTCGCTCTCGCATCGCACGGCCTGACTTTTGACGAAGAAGAATCAGTCGGCACCGCAACACGCCCGCGCTCGCTTTACACACGATATAATAACCTTTCTTTGCTCCGTTTAATTGTTAGCAACTTTTCTCGCTCCACCTCCGCGAACTTCTCTCTGTTGATCTTTTTAATGACGTTTTAACGATGCTCGATGCTGCGTGAGGAGTGCAAGTGCACGTCGGTTACTCGGTCTCGGTTCTGTGTCTGTTTTATTTTCTGCTTTTATCCGCGCGCACAGTCGCGTCCAGTTTCGAGGTTACAAACTTTGTATATATAGAATATAGACAAGCAAGGTATATGTGCATTGTATACCGGTGTGTGCTCGAGTATGACAGATTTTTATGAAGATTTCTGATTCGATGTATGTTCGACCATCGCAAGATACGATATGAGATCTTATTGTCTTGTAAAAGTGTAAAATTAATTGTCAATTTTTGTTCCCCGATACCTTGCAGAAAGATTTTTATACGTAAATAAACAAGATTTTAAAATGGATAGAGGAAAGGCTGGAACTGGTCGTGGCTCTAAAAAAATTACTCCTCATCCATCGGAGTTCATAGTGCTCGGTTCGAAAAATACTAGGGATCCCATTGATAACAAGAGACCCAATATTGTGATATCAAAAGCCAGCTCAAGCAGCAGCCTCATAAGTAATATAAAACCCATTGCCTTTTTTCACGCGAACAGTACTGAAAATGAATCGATAAATATTTCATTAATTTTTCATCACTTTACAGGCAATGACAGAAAAAAAGAAGGTTCCTCGCTGCCAGCGCTTATACCATCAAAAAAACCAAAACTAGCCAGTCATGCTACAAATCCGACTATAAGACCATCAGATGCAACTGTGAAAGAAATTTGGGAGCTCCTTGCTGTAGACATTGATCCAGCAGATTTCGTGCCCTCAGTTATGGATGCTTGTGAAAGTGAGGATAATGACCGAATTGTAAAGCTTATTTGTGGCGCACTAAAAATTTTGAAAGCTTCTAGATATACCCCTGATAAGATTATCTGCTTGGGTTTATTATATTTGGTAAAAATTAAACCAAATATATTCTGTAACGAAAACATAACAACAGGTTTTGCTGCACTTTTCAAAAAAGACCCCAATTTTAAAAAGGGTAATCCAGTGATACCTGTGGTTATATCAAATGTAATTATGCATGGATTTAACGATAAGAGAGATTGGCCTAAAGATTTTATCAGGGTAAGAAAGATTCCATACAACTCAATATACTATAATTGTCTAATAAATGAAAATATATTTATGAAAAATATTGTTATAATTTTTTCAGATTTTTATTGAAGATGCTATTGGAGAAAGATTATGGGTTGATAATGAAGAATGCAAAAGTTTTGTTGATAATATTTTAACAGCATTCAATACTAGAGAACCTCCAAAAAGTGTATTACAACCAGAAGTAGGTATATTGACACAAAAAGAATGCCCAAGTCCTTCAACACCTATGGAAGATGACAACGGATCTTCTTTGAGTCAAATACTTGGAGACAAAGAGAAAAGTGATTCATCTGTAATTCCTAGATTTGCTAATATTCAAGACTTTGTAGAAAAAACAGTTGTTGAGATAGTCAAAGAACGGTTGGCCAGAAGTCAACCTGATACAATAAATCGTAACTTGTTAAAATTGTTGTCTTCAACTTGTGGAATTGCGGAAATAAGACTGATTGCTGTTTCCAAACTTGAGAATTGGTTACATAATCCAAAATTAATGCGATCTGCACAAGAACTATTGCTCTATGTTTGTTATAATTGTACTACACATACTCAAAAAGATATGGAAGTTATAAATCAGCTGGTGAAAATAAGATTGAAAACAAAAGCTGTTATTAATCTTTACATAAACGGAGTTAAAGAGTTGATTTCATTACATCCAGAAAATTTGTCTACTTTGTTCAGGTCTACCATTTACAATGAATTATCAGTGGGTAATAATCGTAATCCAAATAATATGCATATGCTACAAGTCATGTTTGCAAATGCACCGGAAGCATCTGCTCAGCTGCTAGGAAAATTATTTCAAGATTTATTGTTGAGTCGAGAGGATTATTTAAGACCATTGCGTGTGCTTTTTCGTGAAATTGCTAGAGTGTGCAGAAATGATCTGATTTTATTAGTTGTAGCTCGAACTCTAATGAGTGCAAGATTAGAAATTATTCAACAATTACCTGTTTTTGAATTTAAAGAACGTATGTTTCATTCTATCATTGATTTACTTTGTTTATGCATGTTTCTGTGCATAACCCCACAAGTTAAAGAAGCTGTTATTTTGACACAAAGGGGCGATAAGAAAGAAGCAAGTGTACTTCACAATTTTCAAAATTCAGTTGCAACTATTCAATATGAAACAATTGCTTGGATCCAGTGTTCTGCTAGTCAAATGTTTGGTATTAATAAAAAGTCAGATTTTCATCAAAGTCTTTTGAAAATTTTACTACTAGAATCACAAGAACAGTATCATAAACTTGATGGCTTTCCACCTGAATCTGAAAGACCATTTTATATGAGAATGGTTTCTGAAGTCCCTGTACTTGAACAAACCATAATGAAACTTATTTATATTGGAGTTGCTGAGGTATGTGTATGGTTTTATCATAATTTTTATATAACAATAATCTATTTTATTTGAATTTCAGGAAAATCCAATGACTCATGCTGAAATATTAGACATAATTGACCAAATCATTCGTAGATCATCAATGCATTCTTCTGAAATGTTTCCACTGCTTCACATAGAAAAACCAGATATCGTTGAATGTATATTCAGTTTATGCATGTACTCTCCACGCACAGTTTCTCCTACTATTCCAGCTGACTATATACCTCCTACTCTTGCTATTGCAAATTTATACTGGAGAGGTTGGTTGATGTTATTAATGATCGTTGCTCATAATCCTGCTACAATCGGAAAAATTATGTGGAAACACTATCCCATGCTAGATGTGTTGATAGAAATGTGTATTACAAAGTAGGTTTCATTTGGTTATTTTAAACATTTTTTTAAATAGACAATATAATGATAAAAAATTTTCAGTCACTTTTCATATCCACCACCAACAATGGCTTCATCTGAAGGAATAGATCAAGAACGAACTAAAGAGTTACACTTAGCAGCTTTAGAGAAACAGGAAATAATCCAATATGAAACACATTTAGCTGGTAAAGGGCCAGTAACTGAGTCAGCTAGCTATCTTCTTCCTCAGACAATGTTTTATGAGCCTCAAGGCATGCCCAGACGTCCACCTCAACTTGTTCTTGATCAAATTCAATCATTGAACACAACCCATCGTTTGCGTGAACTTCTTTGTAGATCGAGAAATCCAGATTTTTTACTTGATATCATTCACAAACAACAATCTAGTTCATCTCAAAACATGCCTTGGTTGGCTGAACTAGTTCAAAATAATGAGGGATCTCTTAGCCAGTTGCCAGTACAGTGCCTTTGTGAATATCTTTTAAGTTCTTCAATTATGCATTCTGATAAACAGTCAAGACAGAAACAGTTGTTAGCTCATTTACAGCAATTATTAATAGATCCATTGCACGATTCACAACATTCTTACGAAGTTTTAGAATATTTTATGAGAAAATTAAGTAGTTCCGTAAGCAAAAGTAGAATGCAAGCGATAAAAGCATTGAAACTTATACTCGATGACATTTCTATGGACGACGAAGTTATGATAGTCGATGGAGATTTGGACTAGTTTGTATTATTTTGAATTTTAATGTAATTTATCTTAGATTATTATTAAAAATTATTACTTATTTTTCAGTTATAAAAATGAATCATGGTTACTGCAAAAATTGCCATCAATCCCACACTTTTTAACTGTACGCTCGCTCGTTGCCAAAGCTTTACGTGGAGCTTGTAACGTAGAATACAATCCTGATCTGGTGCAAGCATACATAATTTATCTAGCTGCCCATACTCAAGGAGACGATTTGGTCGATTTCACTCATGCGGTTAACGAAATTTCTCAATTAGTTGTTGAACGAAACACAATTTTTGCAGCTATACTGCCGCAAACTGATACTGACAATCCTCGAGCTAAGCAAACTTTGCGAGCACTAATGTCGCTCTACTGTAATTATTTGAATAAGGTACTACTCTTATTCTTAAACATGATTTTTTAAAAATATTTTGAGTGTTATAATTGATTCATAATTTTGGTTTATTTGTAGGCCAGAGCATTGAGACAAGACAATTCGCGTGTTACATGGTCTGAAAGTCAAGATCTCATTCTAGTTGAATGGGCCACTGGAGAAGAATGCACGATGCATATTCTTGTAGTTCATGCTATGATAATATTGCTTACGTACGATCAATTGAAAGAGGACCCTTTATTTCAACAACTATTGGAAACTTGGTTTCCAGAAAATCACGAGCCACCAAAAGCTTATCTGATTGACACGAGTGAGGAAGCTCTTTTGATTCCAGATTGGCTAAAACTGCGTATAATTCGAAGTAACTTGCCGAGATTAGTTGACGCTGCGTTGCGGGATCTTGAGCCCTACCAACTGGTATTATTTATTCAAAGTTTTGGAGTACCAGTAAATGCAATGACGAAGTTGCTATGTTTATTAGATGAAGCTATTCAAAAGAATCCGGGAGCTGTAACTCAAAATGTGCTTGATAAAATGTACATGACAGGACTCGTTAAAATTCTTCACAATCGTGGCGCTTCGGGAGGTTTAATATTTCTTGAACACATCCACATTGGAACACCGCCAGCACCTGAAGAGAGCCTGAAACCCATCAAAAAACAATTGGAGCAATTACCAGTGGCATCTATGCTACAAAAGCAAGCTTCCGTTCAGTTGGGATCAATAAAAACTGAAGTTCCTAGCCTCATTAATCAGTTATTTATAGAAAATATCCCAATGAGTCAAAAAAATGAAGTCTACAGAAAGTTATCTAAAATGTTGGCAAAGGATCAGCACAAGCTGGGAACTGAAAAAGAGAGAGGTGCCATTGTGGTGGCTATCAAACATATTTTGAGTGTTCTAAGCTCTTTCCAGGTAAATTATTATTTGTTAAAAATTTTCGCTACAATTCGAATACTATTAATTAAATTTTTCTGTTTAGGTGAAAGACTTTTTGTCCTCTCTGGCTCACATGTCTCAATACTCCTGTACGTTAATGCGCCTTATCCTTCATCCATTGAAACGTCACATAACTTGCACAAAAGTTATTGAGCTCGCCCGCAGTATGTGTTTGAACTTAATCTCCATGTATGGTGATATTCAAGCACCTGTTATTTCAGTTTTACGCGATTTTGTCAGTATTAACGTTCCGCAAACGAAGTATCAAGATAAGTTGAAATTTACCGAAGAGCCAAGCAAAATTTTAGAAACAGCCGATCTTCAAGAACTCGAGTGCGTTGGAAGTAAATTACTCGACGTTTGTATGGAGAAAAATCGCAATGACGTATTGATTCAGTCCATAACAAACTTGTTGATCGCTGACAATGAACAATGTATGATAAAACCGCGAACAGGATTGTTAATTGATTGGCTGGCATCGATGGAACCAGAGCTTATTGGCACGTGTCCAAATTTGCAGATACGTTTATTATTTGGAAAAACCAACGTTTTTGTCAGAATAGATGAAAGCATTGTGAGCTCGCATTCTTGTAGACCTTATTTATTGACTTTATTGACTCATGGAGCGAGCTGGGCCACTCTGCAAAAATGCGTCGACCACCTGTTAACCCAATGCCACCAAGAGTAATATTTTAATAATTTAACGATATCACCTATTGATTATGTTTAATATAATTATGAGTAATTTTGAAATTCTTACAGATATGATCCAACGGCGGTCTTAGATTTCCTTTGGTCGCTAACGTGTAATCCAAAATTATGGCAGGGTCGTGAGAAATACTCTACCAAAAATGACTTACCTGAAAATATTTTACTTTTGACAAGTGATCAATTACTCTCTTTGGCCAAGTATGTTGTTGAAGAAGCAGTTATTTTATGCAATCGCCAATCTCGCAAAACGGCTGTGTCACAAATGGAATCCAGACTAGATTTACTTATTTGCTGTTTCTCCGGTAAAGAAGAATTGACAATGAGCATCGTCAAATATTTAGCTGGAGAAATGACTAATCACAATGAGTTAGTATTTTTAAAGCAATATAACAAAGTTTATACGATTGAAATCATAATCTTTTTAAATTTGTAATTTTTTTTATTTTAGCACATATGCTGACGTATCGCACCAATTTTTGTTACACATGTATATGAAAATTCCTAAAATTATTACGTATCTTTCAACATATCAAACTAAAAGGTTATCACAGAATGCGTGCATTGCTGAATGGACAGGTTCAGTTTTGGACTGTATGAGTCACTCTTTGCTCACAAGTTTGGCAGCTATACCTCGTCAAAAATCTTACGGTGTTAAATCCCGCGAGCTTGAACTCTGTGTCCGTAAAATGGCTGCAGTACATCCTCTTCTTGTATTGAGACAATTACCACTACTTTCAACATCACTAATGGGATGGAATGACTTAGAATTTGGTCAATTTAGATCTAGTCATCATTTAAGTTTATTCAATCAAGTGATGGGTTTGTTAGAGTTATTGCAGCCCTATTTGTTTGAAGAGGAACACCAGAGAGGCTTAGAAGCTACTCTCGACAATTACTGCAGATGTTTTAGGGTATGAAAAATATTAATTTGAGTTTGAAAGCATACATTTTTTAAAAATAATTAATTAGTAATAATGTCTTTCTTCAGAACTTTTGTACTATTGACGATCTTACTACATTATTAAATCGATTTGCTCAACTTTTACACGCGTATATTCAGCATGCCGAGCGGAGAGCGCTCAAATTCATCCAAAAACACATTTATTTGCTTCAGTACGTATGATAATACAAGACATTACAATTTCAATTGTCTTTTAGAAAAAATACTTTAAATGCCTTATTTACAGAGATTTACAAGCTCATTATTTAGGATTGGAAAGTTTGCGTTCGCTTGTTCATGGAATACATGTTCCAAGAGAAGGGGAAAATTCGGATCATCTTCTTATTACTGTTGGTTTTCGCCATGCACCCAGCCCTCCACCAGCGGTTTTGCCTGACATTATTGTGAAACTGACAAAAATTCAGGGTGAAGGTTATATCCGTTTGACATAATAATAAAAAATGTTTATAATTCATTACTAATCTAATCTAATAATGAAATTATTTGTTTGAGTAGAGGTTTTGAGCTCGTTACAAGAAATTGAACACTGGTCTTCACGAAAACCCGCTATATTGGAACCAGTAATTGATAATATAGCAGAATTGCTAGTTTCACCACAAACAAATATAAGGAGTTTATCACATCAATTGTTGGCGCGAGCCTTGAAGAACAAACCTCATCCACATCTTGGTATTTTAGCATCACTTCAAAAGTGTTTGGATAGCTCTCGAGCTGATATTCTAGCATCAGCTCTTGATAAGTTGCCTGATTACATCCTTTGCATGCAAGGTAAAAAAGTTATATCTAAAATCTTATTTTACATTTACACACAATATCATTTAATTTTTTTAATCTAAATGTTTTATTTTCAGAATATGCTTTACCCCTTCTGCAAAGGGTTTTTGAGCTTGGAGTTAATTCAAATGTAAATACGATTCCTCACATTAATAAAAGTGTTACACTGTTAAATATTCAAAGAGGCTGTTAGGATACAAATTGAAAGGATTGTAAAAATTATGTTAAGATTTAGTTTATAAACGTTAAAAAAAAGGACAAAATGTTTATCAATGTTTTTTATTTCTTTGCAAATACTACATAGTCAATGTGTACTAAAATGATTTTTATTACAAATATAACTAAAACATTTTCATAATAAATTAAAATTTATCTGATTTCATCTCTCCAAACTCTCTTTTTGAAAGCTTCCATTGGTATTTGATTGTCTACATATGATTTTAAAAATGAATCAACAGCTTTTCGAATTTCCCAGTTAGCTTCTATTAAACATTTTTCAGCATATTGTTTATTGACAGATGTTAATTCTTGCATCAGAGACAGGAGTTGTTCTTTTTCGGAAGCACTAAATGGCGTTGGATTAAAAGTTGGTATTGATTTCTCTGTAGCCAATGTTAATTCACTTAAATCTATGTCATTATAACTAGCAGGAAGATTATCTATATGATAGTGATCATTTGCAATGCAAAATTCATTATCTTCTTTGGCTACTACAAGCAAAGTTCTGTTGAACCACAATGGTGATACATAACTTCGTAAGTATGAAAATGGTCCCTGTACACAAACAGCGAAACATTTTTCAGTGTTATATACAAGATCAACATCTAAATGTTTCAGTTTTCGAAAAGTAGCTGGTTCTTGACGTAGCATGGCAATTATTTTTTCTGGTCCTTTTAGTAAAATTTCAGAACACTTGGCGTAATCAGCAAATTTTTTTAAATTTCTATTTGTGGCAAAAGTTTTTAAAATTAATTGTTTGCTTATATCTGTGATAGGTCCAATAGTCATTGAAAATATTGCTTCACTATCATATAATCCATTAAGGGATATTCTATCATTTTGGTCATAGCATGTGAAAAAATGTTCCAAAAATTGTTGAACTAAAGATATTTTCATATTATTGTGAATGAAATGCTTTTGAAACATTGGCATAAGTTTCAATTCATTATCTATTACATGATCATCTAATTTTTGTAAAAATGGAAATATTTGTTTAACAGTACCAATATAATCTCTTATTTTTGTATAATTATTACATAAAGGATTACCATCAAGCCACAATTCTGTAATCTTATATTCTGAAAATGATCGTAGTGAATTAACATTACCAAGTTTGTTGTTCCTCAAATCTAATCTGGTAAAGTTACCACCAAATACTTTTTCACTTAATACTAAGATTTCCAAGTTATTATCACTTAATATTAAATCTCTTATTGGAACCTTGCCCTCTCTTATATTTGGTGCCATTGGATGAGGAGAAGATAGAATTTTTGATAAACGAAAGACATAATCTAATACAAAAGGTATTTCTAATGGGCAATAAACTGAACCTAATATCTTATCATTTGAAAAGTTCTTGAGGTTTAAGCTTTTCCTATTGATTGGTTCCTTACCAAATCTGGCAATAATACAATTTGTTATTATACTTTGTGGATCTAGAGGCATATCTTGGAAAGACAAAAAAGAAAGAATAATATCAATCTTTACTTTTCTTGTTTTGTTTGGAATTTTAACTTCTAATTTGCGATTAACATATCTCTGAATTATATTGTATCTACAGAAAGTCAGAAATGTCGCTTTATTATCCCCTTCCATGGTGTACATTACCGGTATTAAAAAATATGGTTGGGCAATTTCTAAAAGAGCATTGAGGACTGCAACTTTATCTTCTTTTTCAACATTGTATAAAACAAATTTGTGCCACACATCAATTAAATTTGCTGCTTCCATTTCCGGGGCAGCGAAGTTCAGTTCTCTATGTGAAATTCTAACGGGTTTAAGAAATTTTTTTGTTACCGGTTGTTGACTGTGCTGAATCATTTCTATATCTTCTTTACTGTCCATTTTAGAGCTATTTTCAGATTGAAGTTGTGAAAGGAATTTTGAAAAATTATTTATCAAATTTGACTTGATATTTGCTGTAGATGTTTCAAAATTTTGAATAGGATTTGTGAGAGATGTTGATGTGGAACTGTCATCTTGTTTAGATGAATCTTGCATGTTTACATTCAATTTGGAATGACTCTTCATGATTGATTTGAGAGGACTAACAGAAGGATTTGTTTGTGTTACATTGATATCTGAGTCTAGAATTGGTTTTAAATTTGGTTCTTGATTGGGAGAAGTATCTTTAGAAGTAGAAGGGATATTACCAATAGAATCATTACTTTGTGATAAAAGCAATTTAGCCTTATTTTTTGACCTGTTTCTTTTTCTTCCCATGTTTTTGTATTATCTAGAAATAAACGATTCTATGTTGAAACATTTAAGACTGCAATCGAAACTCTGTAATTGATTAATCAACACACCAGAATTGTCAATTAATCTAAAATTATTTTCTGCAAAAATGATGTTAATTCACATAGCACTTGATAACTTAGCTAAACATAAGTTTAACATTTTTTTTGTACACAAAACAATTCTCAAGACAAATTATGCTATTCTATATTGCAAAACACTTATGAAACGTAAACAATAACGCGGTTAGCTCATGACTGCGTTGTTCTACTGCTGTAAAGCGGTACCGCCAAGTAGATGCACGCTGCTTGCCGCTCGACTATCGTCCGTCCACCTTTATCAATGTATTATAAAGTAATGTAATTTGTACCAAGGTGCAATTGGTTCAGAAGTTTAAGTACGATTTGATATGCGATTTATTTACACATTTTTTGAGTTAATATTAACTCTATTTTTCATAACTATATTTGAAAAAAATAAAATTGAATAAAAAACGAAAGTTAATTCTTTTAATAGTTATCAAATTTTATTTGTAAGAGAGAAGTTTGCTTTAAATACATTTGACGACGATGATGATTTTCAATTAGCCTTTCTACTGTAAATAACATGATAATTTACTTTTTTCACATGATTTAAGAGAAGTATTTTTGGACGAAGTAGGCTTATTCACAAAATTCAGACACATGATTAATATATATACAGTTGAACAAAATAACAAGGTGAAAAGTAGATGGTGATAAGTAGGAGACCAAATTTTTCAGTTTTATGCATTTTTATTTCCTTTGAATATTTACAAAGTATTTACAAATATTTACATTTCATTCGCAGATGATAAAAAACTAGGTCGTATTACATCAAAGTACAATCAACAGTTTGAATTTTATGTGTACTTTTTTGAAAGTTTTTTTAAAACCTTGTTGTTTAATGGATAGAACTATCGTTTTAATGACGTAAAAGATAAAAAAACTGAATTTATTATATATGCTAAAAGCAAAACAATGGGCTGCATACATACATGCAATTACAGTCATTAAAGTATTTTAATATTTTTAATTTTGCAGTGTGATTAAAGCTTGACTAAACAATTTTTTAAATAAATTAATAATTTATTATACATGTTTATAAATTAATCATAATCATGTCATTTATGAATTTTGATGTTTTCTTTTGAAAAATCTGCCAAAAATTTAATATTATAGAAGTATTTTTGAAGTTTTGAAACAAAAAAGAAAATTATCATTGAGTAGATTAAGGGATGATTCGATTTTTATTGCTACTACGCTACATTTTTACTACCACTATGCCATACTAGTGTAAAAAGCATCCTTTGGTACAGAGCCATTTTTATAATGGTGTAAAAAAATAGTTATGGCTTTTCTCATGTCCCAATCAGCATATTTGAGAAATTTTTCACAATGATCAGATTTCATTGAAGTTGCTTCTTGAAATGAAATTATCATATCTTCTTTTTCTCGTGAACTAAAACAATTTGGTTGGAATTTTAAAGGGTTTTCGTTTGTTATGTTGGAAGAAATGTTGTCCATTCCACCTGATGGCATGAAAACATGGTACTGATCATTTCTTATTTTGAATTCATTTTCTTCTTCATGAGCTAGCACAAAAGTTCTATTGAAAGCTAAGATTTGATTTATTCCATTCGCCAATTTGAATAGTCCTTCAACAGTGATAACTACTACTTCGTCACTATCAAATATAAGATCAGAACAAAATGATTTATGAAAATGTTGACTAGCTGGCATTGACTTCAAAGCTTCAATAATTGTTTCAGATCCATAGTGTAAAAGTTGTTGGCTATTTTTACCAAATATTAATAAATTCCTATTTTCTTGCCCGAATGGTTCCAGACATTTTTTACTACTTAGTGAAGTAGGAGTACCAACAGTAGTTGAACACCATGCATTTTCATGATACAGGCCTTTTAATACTGTTCGATCTGGAGAATCGTAAGCTGTAAAAAAATGCTCAACAAACTGTTCCACTAACTTTCTTTTCTGCCAATTTTTGATATAACTTTTGAAAATTAATGGCAGTCCAGGTGAATTTAAAGTAACTCCATCCAATTTTAACAAATTTGGACAATACTCCCTTACAGCCTCTACATATTGTTGCGGATGAGAATAGTTTTCACATAATGGATTTCCATCCAACCAAAGTTCTAATATATTAAGACATTTGAGAGGTTCTAAACATTCTATTCTGATTAAATCATTGTGCCTTAAATCTAAATATTTAACTGTTTTCATGTGTGCAGGTTCTAATGCTGACAAAGATGAAATTTCATTGCTTTTTAAATTTAGATTTTCCAATAATGCAAAAGTACTTTTTGCTAATCTCAAAACATGTCCCAAAGTCTTAGATTGAGATAAAGGACAATACACTTGTTTGTAAATATCAGCATCTTTATGAAACTCTTCCAAATTTAACAATTTTTTGTCTAAGGCATATCGCTTTACTAGTCCTGTCAATAAAATTGGTTGAATGTTAATTTTCAGGTCATGAATTGAAGCAAAGCCTAGTGTAATTGTGAGAATCATATGACTATCTTCAGTTTGAATTATCAAACTTGTTTTACATAATTTATCCAAAGCTTGACCACAATTCCTTACAAGAAAACACGAATCAGTTCCTATAACTTGATATTTGACTGGAATCAAATCAGCTGGACTTACAGTGCGAAGTATAGCTTTTAAGGCAGTTTCTTTATCAATACCAGCACCGTTTTGAATGATAATTCTGTGCCAAATGTCATTACGCTCCATGAGAGCTTTCTCTACTGGTAGAGGATTTCCCATTGACAGCTGAATAGCTACAGAGGAATCCACTACACTGGAATGAAATGGTTGCGAAGTTGGAATAATTTGACCACCAACATTGGGTATTGTATACACTTCTCCAAGCTGCATATTATGAGTTGCTTGAGCTTGCTTCAAGCGGTCTTGAATATTTACAAGGTTTGATCTTGGGAACATCTTTGGTGAATTAATTTCTGTAATTGGAAACTAGATTTAAAGCTATAAATCAATTAAATATCTCAAAACTGTTGCAATGAAGGTTAAAAATGTCACTTACTGAATTGTATTATTTGTAAACGTATATGAGTTCTAATGAACAGAAATCGACGTGATTTTGTTAATTCATTGATATTTCATTATTTACTCGATCATCTACGCAGCTATAAAAAAAAATGTATATTTTCGAAAAGAAATGAGTTTATATGAACTGAGATATGAACGTAAACAACTTTTGACTAGTGTGCAATGCAGTCCAAGTTGTCTGCTAGTTTTATCAGTTTTACGCTAAACACGAATTGAAAAATTGAATTGTCACGAATAAGGATTTTTTTTATTTGAAAGTACACAATATAAAATTGATTTTATTGCATTTAAACTATGAAAAATCCGAAAATATTTACGATGTACTATGCGCAGCAAAAAGTTGATGTGACTTTTATACAATATCAATTTTACATTAGTTAATAGTGTAATTTGAGTTTCTTGCATTCCAGTTGTTATTTTTTTTTTTTTTTTTTTTTTTTTTTTTTTTTTTTTTTTTTTTTTTTTTTTTTTTTTTTTTTTTTTTTTTTTTTTTTTTTTTTTTTTTTTTTTTTTTTTTTTTTTTTTTTTTTTTTTTTTTTTTTTTTTTTTTTTTTTTTTTTTTTTTTTTTTTTTTTTTTTTTTTTTTTTTTTTTTTTTTTTTTTTTTTTTTTTTTTTTTTTTTTTTTTTTTTTTTTTTTTTTTTTTTTTTTTTTAATAAAAGCCTTCAACAAAATTGGTGTTTTACCGACCGAGTCCTGAAAATGAATTGCATCATTTTTTTTCTAGACTGATTTTCAAAAAAAAACAGTGAGAAACCAAATTTTATCTAATTTCATACAGTAGTTTTTTGAAAAAAACTGATGACTTCAGGACTAAACTTTTCTATCCTGTTTTTTGAGAAAACAACCGAAAGAAATGAACTAAAATTTGGTGCAGTAGTAGCTACTAGCTAGATTGATTCGGCCAATATTACAAAAATTGCATCATCTAGGTTGCTTTGGTTATACTTACGTTAACTTTCTCATCCACAAAAAATAGCTTGAACTGGGTTGAATTAATTATTTACGGTTGCAGATAAAAAATTTTTAAGATGGTACCGTCTATGCAAAATGTGTCGCGTTGGTCGCAGAATCAAACCGTGCCTTGCAGACTTGGTCAAAGCAGCGAAAAATGAGTTTTATCATTTTTAGCGGCGGATTAATTTCCACTGATATTTGTACATGCTTAAAAATTCAACATATACTGACACAATAATTGGCTTGCTTTTAGTGTGCTGAATTTGCGCGCGCGATCAAACTTGAATTAACTCCCGCCGCCGCGATACTCGACTTCCTGCCGTTTGCGCGAATTTTTAAATAGTACGCGCAACTTTCATACTGTTACAGGTTTAAAACGATCGAACTTGTACTTGAAGTTGAAAATAAAAAGATAGTCAAGATTAAGATTAAAAAATTTTTAATACCTATATTCCTAGCTAAAAATATAAATATACATCTTTTAACAATTTCATTCAACAATTTCATTAACAATTTGTCTAAAAATGCAATCTTCAGTAACTCAACCATTCGCCGAGGTACTGACAAGTGTTGGGCGTAATATTTCCAACATCGGAGCAATCTTTTCGCACGGGACATAATCCACAGGGACTCTTCACAAGTCCTGTACCTTCGACCAATCGTGCAATGGCTCTGTACATGTTGTTTCCGTCGCTAGTCGTGACCCTTTCCACTTTGCCGTCATGAACTAATGAGTCTAAAATCATTTCCACGTCCGTTACTTCCAGTTTTTGCTGAAAATTCGAATAAAATAAAAATTAATTATTTCAATAATTTAAGAAATATATAGCAACGATTAGATTAAGATTCTTACGGTTGTAAATCCCATAATGTACTTCAATACATCTGCGGACGGAGCGAACGAGGCATTTTTCTCGATTAGTGGGCCTAAATCCTGAGCCTTGGCTTTCTCTCTTTTTTGTTCCAAGTATAGGTAACACTGCTGATTCAACGTATTAACAAAAACTTCGTCAAATTCTTGATCGGTATACCAAGGACCACCGGTAATCGAAGTAGATGGTTTCAAATCGTATAGCATAAACAACTTTTTCCTCTTATCTTGGGGGGAGTTTATAATTTTGATAAATTTTTTACTCACAAGAGTTTTTGTTATTTTAGTCAATTGTTGATCTGTTGCTTTGATTATATTCTTCAGTTCGCGGCTCCAGATTCCCTTGTCTCCAGCTTTTGCTATATGGTCATAAATCAATTTTTCTTCGCTTGTAATATTTTTGGATAATTTTGCACTTATTTCATGATTTTCATTATATTTATAATTATTTTTTTCCTTTACTCTAAATAATTTGATAATATGATTTCTCAATAGATCATTAATTAAATCAACTCTTTTCTGAGGAACCGGTTCGATCTGTATAATATCTTCATCAAATATTCCCTTCTTTCCCGCAGATTTTAAGAGATCGATAATTCTGAAATAAAAATGTTGTTATTCACATTATACGAAAAAAAATACTCGATTCAAATAATATCGAACAATAATCAGTTACTCACTTTTGTTTTTTTTGCTGGTCCACTTCCATTTTAACAAATTTAAAAGAAACACTAGTTTAAAATTATCTACGAATTTTAGCGACTTTTCGATGGTGAATTGTTACCAACTAAACACCTGCGAAAACTTAACCTCACAAGCACTAGATCACACTTGATTCGTCTGCACTGCACGAGTCACGACTGCGCACGCCAACTGCCAACTGCCAAGGTCGCCGACTGGATGCGCTGTTAAAAGTTGAGTCTACAAAGAGAGGATAGACGCAGCCAGTGTCGTCAAAAACGCGACATGCCATACGAGTCTACAATGCCTATTAGAGTAGTGGAGCTAATTTTAAATTATTCACGCTACATATATATTTTAAACACAATTTACAGCCTGAATAATTTGGAAGTTCGCTGCACTACTGTAAGTAGCAAGTGCAGTCGTTGTGCACGAATAAATTTAATTTTTCTAGGTAATTTGTTTTTTGAGAAAACTGGACCGACATTTTTTATTTCCGTATTCAGGGTTATAATTTTGTTTTCTGGTAAAACGACAGAATGAAATTGGTTAAAGTTTGGTACATTAATTCGCATCATTAACACGAAGGATCCTAAAAATTCGTTTTACAAAAATCGATCTATAAAAATGTTACTCAAATTTAAATTTTTAGGCCTTGGTCGGTAAGAAACGAGGCTACGTAGCTGGCTTCAAGTTTCTGCTTTATCGACAATAGGCAGTTTATTTTTTCTTCATAAAAAACTACTAGATCATTTTTTCGATTTTTATTGACTTTTTTAGAATATTGTGCCAACTGAAGTTTCTTTTCTAATTGTTCAAACTATTTATTATAAGATAATTACTCAAAAAATAAGTTTTAGGGGTAAGTACACGTATCTTTAAATGCTATAAAATCCTTTCAATTTATTTAATTCTTGTACAACTTTCTTATGTTTTACTTATCTTCATAAAAAGTCTTACCCCAGAAGTTAAACCATAGGTGTAAATATTTCCTTATTAAATCTATGAGTTCGCCGTGATTTAAATATTTTGTGAACTTTTTTTATCATCTCAGATACGGAATCCAAATCACGTATACAAAACAAAAACGATCGAGAGCCTCGTATACAGTCACCGCGGTACGTGTAATAAAGGGTTAATAAAAATACCGCGACGGATCGTATACATACCGGTCGAAAAATATTTATAAGAGAATAGGCGTGTACATAGGCATCGCAGGACTCATAAATCGGCCGCGTAAAGCAGATCGCTCGACGCCTTTTTTCTTCGGCTGCGCTCGCGCGTCTGTACTATATACACGTGCATTGTGCAATGCTGCACTTGCGGCCTTCTCTCGTCCCTTTTCGTTCGGTCGTTCGCGATCCGCACACACATACATACACGTATCCTTTTGTCTCTCTCTCTCGCTCTTTTACACCTCATCTCGGATTGATATCGTTAATGGGCAGATAGCCAGCGGAGTCAAGCGCAAACGATCGATTTCCCTCTTTTTTTTTCTTCTCTTCGCCATCGAGCGTGTAAAATAATAATATCGACTCTGGAGCGCATCTCGGCCCCGTTCTTAGTTTTCGCGCAGGGCCCGCGCCGATTTACAGCGACGTGACCGACGATCGCCATGCAAAATCACGTATCGTCAATCATTCGCAATCGAGTCGTAAAATTAATTTAAAAAAAAAAAGGCAAAAAGGGAGTAGTACAAACGAGAATTGATAAATCGTGCATTATATGAAAAATATGTCTATCGGCGCGGGATACGCTTAGCGCTCTGTATCCGGAAGTCGAAAATTCCGCTTTCGGATCGGTGGAGCCTAAATTATATATACAAACGAAACGTCCGCAAAGGCTTAACGAGGAATGCCGATGGGAATAGGGGTCGGCCCGGAGACTCCGAAAAATTGGCACGTCGCGTCTCTCGTGCTTGACGAATATATAGTTGTAATAATAATATATAGTAGAGTCCTGGCGCCCCGTGAGAAGAGCAGGATAACGTAGGATGAGAAACGTCGCGGGAGGTGATGCTGCTTCTGCTGCCGTTGAGCTCTTGTATATATATGCAAATTGATCGATGCGACTCTCCGGTGTATATAAGTTTCCACGCACGATGCTTACATCATACATACATGCACGACTCGATATTCCTTATATTCAAACGTCGCCTTCGTGAAACGCGACTGACGAGTGGCTGAGAATCTCCGCGTTACAATATCGTTCATATCTATATTAGTCGCCAGACTCTCGCTCGCTCACGTCTCCAATCGATATTTTATTTATTCGTTTTTTTTCTTCTTCTTTTTTTGTATAATCCGCCGACCTTAGGTGCTACCGCGCCAGATAGCATTTATATACAGTCTTTAACCCGCATTTTACGCAACGAGTACGCATCATTATATATATTTGCAGTTGAACGCGCGGGGTTCGAAGCTTCGCCGCAGGTAACTACTATACACATTCAACGTTTTAAAGCTAAATTCATTTATCAAAGCGGACCAACCAGCTCCAATGACAAATTATTCGCTCTCTCTCTCTCTCTCTCTCGGGAGCAAAACAATGCGATCCATTGCGAGAGGCTGCGAAGACAAAAATGTCCGTAGTGTGCGCAGTGGAGCTATTGAAAAAATGCGAGCGATGCAGGCGCGCGCGTGTCTTTCGGGGACGAAATAAGAGAAAAAGTAAAAAAATGAAACGCGCGAGTCCTTTGTGCCATCATGCTGCTGCATTTGGAGAGGCTGCATCGAAACGTAACCAACGTAATACAGGAAAAATATGGTTTCGGGTCCGAGCGAGTTCGTGTTTTTCTTCGATCGTCGTCGTCGAGCGAACGAACGAACGAAGAAAAAAAGGTGTATATGATCTTACTTTTGGGCAGGTCGAGTTCACCCGCGATGTACACGCGCGTGTGCATTCCTTCCAGGTGCACAAACACGTCGAGTTCTCTCTCTCTCTCTCTCTCTCTCTCTCTCTCTCTCTCTCTCTCTCTCTGGCTCGCGTTTAATACTCGGCACGCTTATATACATTCGCGAAAAATATCGCATCCACGCGCGGTGGTGTGCTCGCGACATGGGTATATAACCTCTGGGCCTCTCCGCTGCATATATATATATATAAGCCCTCCGCTCGTGCTACGTATTTATATATATAAGTATTTATATACGCGGTCAGCACTGCACACACACATGGGGTTGCAGCAGAATCAGCAGCAGCAGCAACAGTTTGTTGCTTCTCTCTTATACGCGGTCCTCTCTTACCTGCGCGCACTCACGAGGTTTTGCCTCTCTCTCTCTCTGGTGTATTATATATGTATATGTGTGGAGGTGAGAGACACCTATAGCTGCGCGCGCGAGGACTCTGCTCTGCCGCTGCTGCTGCTGCTGCTGATTCCAGGAAATGTGTCCTGGCAGCTTGTTAGGTGTCCCCGAGACTTCTCTAATATATGACTCTCTAACTCCTCCTCTCTCTCTCTCTCTCTCTCTCCCTCCGCGGCGCAGCTCATTTCCTTCTTTTTCTGCTTTATATATATACACACACAGGTACGGACACATGCACTCGCTCGTGCGCAACACACGCACGCTCGTACATGTATATACCTCTATCGTTGCTTGTGATTCTGCTCGAAAGGCAGAGAGAGAGAGAGAGAGTGAAAGCGAGAAATAAAATAGCCGCGTGCGCAAGTTGTATCGTTCTCACGATATTCATCTCGTTTTGCTGGCCTTAATAATGCACTCATTGATCAAAAATTAGCCTCGAATAATCAGAAACTCGATGGAGAATACTTTTTCGAATTGCGTAATTGTAACGATGACAAAAATCACGACGACAGGTGCATCGAACTATATACATAATATAAATACTACACACGCAGCGACAAGGCAATCTCGTGTATAATACGCAACCTGCGCGCCCTTATCAATGCCTCCCGCGTGTTCGACACGATGCGTCGCTGATAAGGACTTTTATTATGCTGCTGCTGCTGCTGCTGCTGCTGCTGCTGCTGCTGCTGCTGCACGAGGGACACGCATTATGTATATATCCGAACTCTTTCTCTCTCATCTCCCTCTGCTGCAGTTCTTGCCTACCTTCTTTTTTTATATATCTGAATTCCCAAAGACATCTTCTCGCTTTGTTGGTAATTTGCGCGCCCGGCAGCAATCGGGGCCTCATGCCGCATATATAAACACGACTCGCGTCGCTGCTATATAGAGAGGGACTATATACCGATTAATTAACGCTTCTTTGGCGTGTATCACACACACACACGTACAATTTTACAGCGCGAGTTCATTCGGGGCACCAAAAATTCTGCGCGGCTGATTTCGAGAATGTCGAAATGCAATCCGCCCAGAGCCAAGAGCTGCACAAGCATAAGGCTCCTATACGACGGGACGTTTTTCCAACCGACTAATTGAATCGTTACGAGTTTTACGCTTCTCTATGTATACCAAAGTCGAATTTTTCAATCATTTCGGGAAATCGGGCGTTTATTAGTCAGTCGCTATTAATTCTCGTACGATAATTAAATTTTGTCCGAGCGAGCTTGCAACTAATTGCCATCTTACGTTCGTCGAGCTTCCGTTAAACTTCGAGAAACTCTCGAGTCCGGCAAGGATGTTCATTTCCTCCTCTATGATCGCAGTGCAGTTTTTTTTTTAAATCTCCTACTTTGTTTTTTGGTATGTAGATAAAATTGTCTCTGCCCGGTGTTCCTCCAATCCTTATACGTATACCACCGAACGCTGATATACAGATTCGTTTGGCACATAGTTGGTGAATTATTCGCTCGCGACGAATAATAGAAGGTGAGGGACACTAATTAGCGATTCCAGGAATCAAGAACATGCCTCGTACATGTGCTCTCTCTCTTACTCTTTTCTTCTCTCTTTTATTCGCGTCGAATTTAAATCCAAGCATTCATTAATTCATTACCCTTGACCCAACCTTCCTCTCTCTCTCTCTTTCTCTCTCCGTCGTATTCTCTTTCTTTCCCTTTCGTTGCAGCAGCAGCATCGCTGCCTCAATATCCGAGAGCCGTGTCTCATTTTTATTTATTTTTTCATTTTATCTTTTTTCCCCTTTTTTTTCTCATCGATATCGTTTTGTCCGAGGGTTGTTAACATTTTTTTTAATCTTGCTCAAGTCGTCGTTCTTGCGGGATATTACTAGATTATTTCGGACGCACACGCGAGGCTCTCTGCGGTGTGTGTGCAAATGTGTGTGCAGCGCAGTGTGTGTTTGTTTTGTTACGTTGTATTCGAAGCTCGTGGATCAGATACGAGTCGCGTTGTTCCTTTTTTTTTTTAGCGAGCGCGAGCCCATGTTACACATTTGTTTTCTTTCGCTGCAAACGCAATCTCAATGAGTTTATATATATCGTTTGGAATACGTAATTATAGGCACTTTATGGGAAAAAAAAATAGATGTTACAACGCGTTAAAACATATCTATACACACGAATTTCCAATTCTAATGAATGGGGGAGGTGATCGCGCACAAGTGCACAAGATTTAGATGATGGAATTCAGGGCCTATACGTTATATATAATGCAGCGACGCATGAGCGCGTATCATCGGTCGCTGCTCGATTCCTCGGACGACGACGACGACGACGAAGCTTGACACCACACACGTTGGCAGGGACTTTTTCTCATGCGCCGGGGACAGTGAGAGAGAGAGAGAGAGAGACAGAGTTAATGTTTACCTGGCTGTGGCCGATGACTAATGACATATAATGTTATATACCTATACGTCCAGTTATGCGTGTGTGTGTGTGTGTGTGTGTGTGTGTGTGTGTGTGTGTGTGTGTGTGTGCGTTGGCGCTTGCATTTATAATTTGCGTATGTGTGTATATATACTGTCTCCGACCCTACATTATACCTTATATATTATTTTTGTATATTATATGTGTACGCCGATGAGATGCTGATGACGATGACGCGACCAAGACGACGACGACGACGACGACACTATCCGGAGCCACGGCAACAGCAGCAACGTTGACTTGGATTAATTATCTATCACTGGCGCCAAGTTTCTCACGAAACGCACCATGCGACACATATATCCGAAGCGCGCGGGAAATATTTCTCTCCTCTCAGATCGCTTCGGTTTATGTTCAAAATTTGTATAGCATACAATTCTATTTTATCCTTTAATATTATGCCCGCGCGCGCAAGAGCGATGGGATGCGGCCTCTTAATTGCAATTAGGCAATTTTTGTACTGCTATATATGTCGTGGAGAGAAAAAAATAATCAAAGTTCTTTTTCTAATTGGCGATTTTTATTTATTTATTTTTTTCATTTCATAATGTATAAGTTCATTAGGGTTATTTCGAAGTAATTAAACGGTAGTAGTTTGAAATTTTGGATTTCAAGGCGATCTTCCGGCCGCTGCGATACTTTTAAATGACGAAATATTTCTAAAGAGACAAAATAATTTCGTTACAGACGAGCACGATTAAATAATTAAAAAATATTCGTTACCTCGGGATTGGTCTTGTGGAAGCACTGCACGATATTGAAAGCTGCGTCGCAGGGATTCTTGCCGGCTGAAATTTTATTCACGTTTACAATGAGATATTTCACGATATCAATGGAAGATTTATCACGTTATTCGTGGATAGCGATACTTACTGACGGTTCTGCAGGCGTTGATCATTTCCATGCCGTGTTCCTTCATGGATTCGACGGCTTCCAATTTGGTGATGGCTTTGTCCCAGTCTACGTGTCCGTCTTTGTCGAGCTGTGGATATGTGAATGATTAATAAATGTTTCAGTCAAGCTTTAATCGTTAACTTACAACGTCGAAGGCGTTGAAGATGCACGAGAAGTAGCAGCCAAGAGTTTCGCTCGGATGGAAGTATCCATCTACCGTCCGGTCGACGTGTTCTGCGAATCAAAATTAAATTGTGATACCGTAAAAATACTGAAAATAGTTGCCGAACTCACCAATGTCCACTCCGGTTTCTCTGTGGCATTTTTCACGTAATCCGGCAACCATGCCTTTGATTTCAGCGGGAATTTCCTACGAAACGACGCGTGTTTACATTAGCGATGAAATTTATTTTCACTGACCTTTTTTTTTTACTTCGCATACTCACTGCGGCGTTGCAAACTCCCATGACAACGAGAACAAGACCGAAGGTAAAACTCTTCATATTGACAAAAAGGTCGTGAACTTCAAGAAAGATTTCGAAATTTTCAACTGCGTTGGTGCGTTGTGAATGCAAACGTTGCTGCTCGTGCCTGAGCTTTTATACATGATGCAGTTCTGGTAGGCGTCTCTCGGGTATCAATTAGTCAGAGAGAAGATATTAGCGTTGCGAACTAAATATTAGTGCAGTGTGACACTGTGAGGCCGAAATAATTCGTGCGAATCATAGATGAGTGTGTAGTTCTTAGCGCATTTCTTGCATAAAAATCGTCGCGGGTCTTGATCGGGCAGAGGAAATCGCGGCGTTATTACGACGTCGCTCGCTTCATCCGTTTTTTTTTTAATTGTAGCGTTTCGCGCGTTTCATTCAGCGCGATACGCAAGGTTGCGTTTGAGCGTTTTCTGTCGCGCTATTTTCCTTTTCATTCATTCGAACGAAAAATTGAGTCATTTTCTTCCTTTGGCGAGAATCAATTATTTCTTACCCGGTTCAAAGAGATTTTTCGAATTTCTTATTTTCTTCTTGACAAAATTATTGAAAATAAATCGATACTTACAACTTGTTAATGATTTTGTAATATTTTATATCAAAAGTCATGTATTTTCGAATTTATTGTTTTATTTGAATGATATAATCATTATTATTTATAAAAATTAATAGTATTCTTTTTTATAATTGCGAGTCAGAAATGTTGACAGTATTTATAATTATCAATCCTTGAAAGTTGTTTAGATAACGAAGAATTTCTGGAAGAAAAATCGTCAATGAAATTTATTTTATGATATTGTTAGGTATGATTCTATTTTATATATTTGAGATAGTGAGTACTAACGTCTGGATAAGCTTTCTGGAAACATTGAACGATATTCAAAGCTGATTCGCATGGATTAGCTCCAGCTAAAACATCATAAGTTATTTTTATTTTATATTTTATTTCATTGATAGCACACGAGAATTTAAAAGATTACTTACTGGTGCCACGACAAGCATTAATGAAGTCCATGGCATGGTCCCTCAGAGATCCAACGGCATCCAATTTACTAATAGCCTTGTCCCAATCCAAGTGCCCATCATGATCAAGCTGTTGAATAATATTTAATCGTATTAATTAATTATTTACATTGAATTATATTTTTCCATAGTTTTAATACTGAATCATTCTTACCAGATCAAAAGAATTGAATAAGCAGGAAAAGTAGCAACCAAGAGTTTCGCTAGGATGAAAATAACCCTCAACCGTTCGATCGACATGTTCTTTAAAATAAATGATGATTTTTGATAATTTTATAATGGCATCGTGTTAAAATGTTTTTGTGAATTTACCAATGTCAACTCCTGTTTCTCGATGACATTTTTCACGCAGGCCGACGACCAAATGTTTTATTTCCTCTGGCACCTCCTGCATCAAATATTAAAATTTTTATAGAAATTTTTACCTTTTAAAATTTCTGAGATAGGCCAATAAAAATATTTAAATTCATACTCACACCAGCCTTGACATTGTGCATGCATAAAATCGTTATCGTCAAGTACAAAATTCCTTTCATACTGCAAGTCTTACAAAAGTTGAACTTACGAACTCACAAAATTCTGAAGCAAACTAAACGGACGAAGGAAAATAGTATTGTTTTTATATGCCCGCGGCACTATGAATCGGTGTTATTTTTAATTTGAAATGATCGATACTAGGTAATCGTATAAGCTTAGTCATGTAGCAAGGGAATCTGAGAAAAAATTTAAATATCAATGCTGTTTCATGGAAAAGTTCATGCATGACTGCTGGCTTGAACGTATCACGTCGTGCAAATGGCATTACATCTGTTTTTGGTGATTCATCGATGGATAAAAATAATTGAAAAATTGATGCATTCGAACACACGTTAAAATATTAGCATGACCCGGAAACGTAATGGATCATTCAATAAAGTGTTGAAGCTAAAAACAGTACTTCTATTTTTTTTCAAAACTTCATCAAATAAGGGAATTATATCTGAATTTTTATGGAATGTTTTACTGAAATGTTAATTATAAGAGATTGAAAGCTTTGCAGTGGTTTCAAAGCCACTTTGGAACCTAACAATTGAATGTTAATTTTATTAAAATTTTCGAAAAGTGAATGAAGTTTCGGTAAACATTTGTATGTATAATGTGTATGTAAGGTATACGCCCCCATTTTCGATCAGTTAGGCCCTAATTTCGATCAAATTTAAATCAATTTTTTATGTAGGATTGAAACTTGATATCTGATTTTGAATAATGTATTTCTCTTGAAGATGTTCGGTTCATTCAGCCAATTATTTAAAAAAATGTTCTCACGTTCAATTAAGTTGTTAATATTAATTATTGATCGAATATAGGGACATGATCGAAAATAGGGGAATATTCCTTATATTTGCAGTATTTTTTCAGAATATTAACCGCATTTTTGTTGAGTTTGATCAGTGCGAAACCCATAAAATTTATTTTGAGTTTTTCATAAACAAATCAAACAAATTATATCATTCGATCATACAATTATTTGTTTTTACCTTTCGTAAATATGTATTGTATATCAGATGGATCCTGTCTTCGATAATATTATGATCTCACTTCGTACTGTGAACACTGTCGTATACGAATGCTCAATTTGGGGTTTGTAAATGTTATCGAATTAAGTTGACGTTAGTTCAAACGAATTTCTCAACAAGAAAGATGGAAGCCAGTGATAAAATTAGGTAATTTTCATTTTATGCGAATCACAGTATGAAAATGTTACAACATAAAATATTTAATCGTATAATAAATATTTTAGCGTGAAAGAAGAACCAATCGACTTATTGCTCGGTGAAAATGATTACATTGTAATTAACAAGACACCCGACGTCAACAATTTTCAATTCCTAAGACATCAGCAAGAAAATCAAGTAAGTAATTATAATAACATAATAGCTCATTTATTTATGAAAAATTTCACATAAATTATATTTTATTCAGATTCAAAAATCTGACGAAAATCACGAAAGTGAACTTAGCGACTTGGCTATCGAGTTGGAATGTAAAGACATGAAGCCGAGCTTGGATTTATTAGCAGTTATGAAAATTGAAAATTGTTCTGAAGATCACTTGGCGGCTATTGAAAATGGTAACGAATATCAAACTCAAAGCATTAAATTAGAACCTTTGGATGCAGTAAAAAAAGAATCGTTTGTGGACGACACAAATCAATCAAGTATGAACTCAAATTGTGAACTTTTTGCGACAATGAAAAGAAAAACAGTTGTAAAAAATGGGGATTATAAACATAAACTCAAAAAACACGTTGTTGACATGTCGAATGGTAAAATCGCTTATCCTTGTGATACATGTGGAAAGTCATTCGGACGTAAGAACAATCTTAAAATACACATCGATTCGATGCATCTTAAAATCACCCACAGTTGTGACAAATGTGGAAAGTCATTCGGACATAAGAGCACTCTTAAAAAACACATCGACTCGGTGCACCATAAAATCACTCATGCTTGTGATACATGTGGAAAGTCATTCTCATGTAAAATTTATCTGAAAAAACATATTGAAGCGATACATAATGGTAAAACTCCCACATGCCATATCTGCGGAAAGACGTTCTCTCAAAAGGGTAATCTTCAAACTCACATCAACTCGATGCATAATGGTACAATCACCAATTCTTGTGATACATGTGGAAAGTCATTCGGACATAAGAGCAATCTTAAAATACACATCGAATCGGTGCATCATAAAATTACTCATACCTGTGACTTATGCGGAAAGTCATTCTCATTTAAAGATTCTCTCAAAAAACATATTGAAGCGATACATAATGGTAAAACTCCGACATGCGATATCTGCGGAAAGACGTTCTCTGAAAAGGGTAATCTCCGAACCCACATTGATTCGATACATAATGGCAAAACTCCCACATGTTATATCTGTGGAAAGACGTTCTCTCGAAAGTGTAACCTCCAAACCCACATCGATGCAGTGCATACTGGTATCACATATAAATGTGATACGTGCGGAAAGACGTTTACTCAAAAGGGTAGTCTCCAAACCCACATCGCTTCAGTGCATAATAGAGCGAAAAGTTACGAATGTAAAGTGTGTGGCAAGAAATTTTCGCGAAAGTATGTTCTGAAAAATCATATCGATTCGATACATAACTGAATAAAAAGTTACGAATGTGACGCGTGTGGCAAGAAGTTCTCGCTAAAGGATGTTCTGAAAAATCATATTGATTCCACGCATATATGGAATTGCACATACCCGTGCGATTTTTGCGGAAAGGTATTTTCCAAAAAATGGAATTTGAAAACTCACATCGACTCGGTACATAATTGTCAAAAACCTTACAAATGTGACACGTGCGGTAAGAAATTCTCGCAAAAAGTTCATCTTAAAAGGCATGTTAATGCAATGCATGTTTGTGTCACACCTATGCGTGAGAAGCACGCGGTAAGTCATTTTTAATAAGTAGCAATCTCAAAGGACACAACATTTCAGTTCGTGATAGTATAATCACCTATCCATGTGACGCCGGTGGAAAGATATTTTGTGCGAAGTTAAAATTCTCAAGTACAATGTCGCATGAACATTAACTAATCTTCAAAACTGATATTCAATCGTGTAAAATACTGTGATTTCAATGGTGAGCTATAATCTCTTGTGTAATAATTAGACTAATGCGAACATTTTTATTAATCAATACATAAAAATCAAGTTCTAACTACATGTAAGCGTTTGAAAAATGTAAAATCAAATGTACTATATTGACAATTTTAGATAAATTAAAATGTTATACCACATCATAAAGAGTTTTTCAATAAAAGTTCCAATAGCTTGCATCAAATGATCTTTTAAATCAACGGTACAGTGTCTATACATAAAATCACAGCGGTATTACCCCCCTATACATGTAAATTCTCGAAGTGTATGAGAAACAACAAAGCTGACACCTGTGTAATATGTGTAGGTACGAATTCAGTCGCTCTACAGCCTCGCGCTCACATTTATATGTATAAATGGTCATGCAGCCCTGTATATAAAACAGCAGCCTCGCGGCGAAGGGAGTCCGTCTTCTTGCGCTCGGACGCGGGGCCGCAAAAGTTGGCTCTCGAAGCGAAGAAAAAAAATAATAATACACGGTATATGCAAATAACTGCGCTGCGCGGGGCTTTGTCGTCCGACGCGGTAGCCGCCTCTGTGGCAAAGAGAGAGAGAGAGAGAGAGAAACGACGACGAGAACGAGAGAACGGAAAACGAGAGCAAAGTCGATGATCTCTCTAGGGAGTCTTGAAAAAAAAAGCGGCGGCGAGTGTACTTAAGTATAATACTTATTACTCGGCACAGAGGACCACTGAGCTCGCACGTACTTATATACTCGATCGGCATTTATGACGCTCGGTCAAGAGCTTGAGCTTGATCAGCAGCAGCAGCAGCTCTCCTCTGGGGAGTCTCACGCAGTCGCCGACAGTTGCCGCACGCGCCGCGCAAAAACAGCCACCGCCGAGGTATATATGTAACATATGTGACGCGCCGCCGCCGCCGCCGACACGCATGTGCGCCTGCCCTTTGCTGAATTTCGATCGCGGATTCCCGTATGGACCGCTGCTGCTGCTGCCTTATAATTGATCGATGCAGCGCTTTATAAAAATTGACTGATTGCGGGAGCCGTGTAATGATAATACGTCGTTGAGGCTGCCGACAGAAAGAAGGTCTCTGCTGCGCTTTCGTTGTCGGTACCGCAGCGAAACGAGAAGGTGTAGAGAAGAGCTCCCTGTATATAGCGATTAGCTTTCGACTCGAAAGGAACGTCCGCAGCTTGTAAATGAGGCGTGAAAAACATGATACACTTTTTTCGAAAGCCCGAGATTCGGTGATGTTTATTTTGCTGCGAGCTACGAGCAACAACGTTCGTTTCACGAGTAGTTGATAAGTTTTCAGACGCTTTCGATTTGAATACATTGGTGAAAAAGTTCAACATTTCATGCCTACGGTAACGTTAAAAAGTTCGATGATCAATTAGATTTTTCAAAGAAAACTTTGGACTTATATAAGTTTATGTTTACTTTGCCACTTGCAGATGTACGGATGAAGGTGCACTCGCCATCTAGTGGTGATTGCTCAAAGTGGCATTGTCGTATTGACTTGAAGTAGTTGAAAACTGGCCTTCAATTTATTGAAACAGTTGAATTGAACTAATTTCAACTTTTAAATTTTTGTACAAATAAAATCCCATAACAGATTTGATTGACCCCTACTGAATATGATAAAGCAAAAACAATGCTTTGGCTTATATACAAACATTTTTAGTTCGCCACTTGCAGATTTACAGATAATAGCACTCGCCATCTAATGGCGAATGCTTAAAATGGTACTCAAGGTGATTGAAAATTGGTCTAAATATTTAAAATAAGTTTATATAATATTTATAACATAAAGAAAAAACTGCCCAAAGCCAACCAATTCCAATATTCATTTTTTGATTACGAGGCCATTATCAATGTTGACCATTCCTACCTGTAAAACGTCTCGAAACTCAATCGACCTGTAAATAATTAATATTCCCTTTAATTAGACCACAATCTCACATTCACAGGGAAAATCGAAACAAGCACGGGCAGACAAGTGCAAAAGTACAAAGACGAATGAGAAGTCAAACGCTGCACAATCTAAATAAACACGAATAAAAAAAAAGGGGGAGAAGGGATTTTTTTAATGCCATGCACCACGACTCACCGCGCGCGCGCGCGCTCACTTTAAATGGGTTACGGCCTGCGCAAAAGTGATTTTATACTTTTTGCACGGTACTTAGAAAACGTAAAGGGAGAATAAAAAGAAAAAAAAGAGAGAGAGAGAGAAAAAGAGTCTCGTTGCTGCCTTGTGGCCTTTAAATCAAAGGAAGAGCGCGGCGATAGTCACTCAGTCTCGCGGCTCAGATTGATGTAAGACTCTGTGTTTTACATTCAATTCAATTGGGCAAAAAGAGCACGAAAGAAGAACTGCGAGAGTGAGCTCCTTCATCTTCTTCTCTATGCGTTCGCAGCAGCATCGGTTTCACATACAAGCACACACGTTACTTGTATGCGTGCAAATGTGCAGTGCACACACACACACAACACACAAGCCACATAAGCATCGGCATTGTGCCGAAAGCGCGGCCGACTTCTTCTTGCTTCTTATTTATTTTTTTTTGCTTTGCTTTCTTTCTCTCTCTCTCTCCGAGACGTCTCGTTATACAATCGTAAGTCGCGCAAAAGAGATACTTAAAGAGAAAAAAGAGCCGCGTGCGCGCGCGGATTTAAATCGAATCGGCGTTTCCTTCGCCGCGCGCTATATACGTATACGAAACCTGCCTCGCTCTCCATACACCATATATATATAAAATAAGTGCAATTACTTTGAGAAAGACGTCCATTGTTTATGTCGATGGACCCCCTTGAGTGAGCGACTTGTTTTCATGTCTGTGTGAATTTGTTATTTCTGGGGGGGTTTTCGATTCGATGCCGAGAGAGAGAGAGGAGCTTCCGTGCAGGGCCCCCAACGTCAACCTTATTAAATCCCACGTCAAAAGTATTCTATCCTTGTAAATCGTCGGGAATAAGTGAGACTACTTTGTAACATCAAATATTTATAAATATACGAAGGAAAGAAAAGAGCGTCCGAGTAACTTGTCTCGATTAGAAATCATTTTATTTTAATTTGTCACGTGAAAGGATGTTTGGTATGCTCTAGTAAGATACCAAAGAAAAAGACACGACAATCATTTGATCACATTAATGTACAAAAGCCGAAGATGGATCGATTGCAAAAAATATTTTGCGTATCAGTTCTGGCACGTGCGTTTCACTGCATCTCTGTACGATGCCCTTAGCTAATGCGAAACAAGTGTGCTCGAGGCCAGTATACACAAACAAATGCAAATAAATCGACGCGATAATCGCACGTGAATGCACTCGTGTGTTTGCCCGATTTAGTAGAATAAAAAAGTGACCGGAGCAAGATGCGAGTATAAAAATACGGAGTGAGGAAAAGTGGTAAGTTGAGGAAGGGCGTAGTAATGTAAAAAGAGAAGTTCACAAGTCTGTGAATATCTTCTGAGCAAAAAGAACGATGGAGATCACGCGAGCGTTTAATAAGACTACTCTTAGATTTTATTTACGCACAAATTTTACGCTTTTTATGTTACAATTTGTAATTGACTCTGAAAAAAATTATTGCATAAATTTTCTCGTTGACAGATCACTGACCAAAATTTCCTGCTTTTTCTGATCGTTTTCTAGTTCAAACTTCAATACGATTTATTGAATTGCTGTAAACTTTATTTCAAAAAAATCCTCATTTTCGTAATTCGAATGTTCCATTTTTATTCGCTATTGCATTTATGAAATAATTATGAGTCAAATATAGTGTAATTTATTTTCCCGGTAATCGTACTAAAGGTTTTAGGTACTCTGAGTATAAAAAGAATTTGAAACATAAATGACCCTGTTTGAAGAATTATTTCTATCAATTTGCTGAACGATTATATTAAAAATATGATACAACTGATATGAATGAACATTTATGAGCTTTAGTTTTTCGAGTTTCAGTTTTCGAATTATACTTATTATGAATGTGTTTGATATTAAATTAAGAAATGTTTCTTGTTTGTAACATGAGTAATTCTGTCAATTATATTATGTCTTTATTTCGTACGTGTTCTAACTTTCGATTTGGGGTTTGTAAATAATATCAAATTGAGTTTAAGTTAGTTTCATGGGTAGAGTCAGTCCAGAAAGATCAATCGCAAGCAAATTTCTATGTGAAGAAAATGGAATCAAGTGTAGTATTCAATAGTATCGTTAGGTAATTTTTTCACGTAAATTACTCCATCTCGAAATGAATGAACTAGAATTAATAAAAATTATTTCAGAGTTAAAGAAGAACCAATCGACGTGTGGCTCGGTGAAAATGATTACATTGAAATTGACAAGACACCCAATGTCAACAATTTTCAATTCTTAAGGCATCCGCAAGAAAATCAAGTAAGTAATGATAATAACATAATAGATCATTATTTTATAAAAAATTCCACTTAAATTATATTTTATTCAGATTCAAAAATCTGACGAAAATCACGAAAGTGAACTTGACGACTTGGCGATCGAGTTGGAATGTAAAGACATGAAGCCGAGCTTGGATTTATTAGCAGTTATGAAAATTGAAAATGGTTCTGAAGATCACTTGGCGGCTATTGAAAATGGTAACGAATATCAAACTCAAAGCATTAAATTAGAACCTTTGGATGCAGTAAAAAAAGAATCGTTTGTGGACGAAGCAAATCAATTGAGTATGAACTCAAACTGTGAAATCTTTGCGACAATGAAAAGAACAACAGTTGTAAAAAATGGGGATTATAAACATAAACTCAAAAAACACATTGTTAACACGCCGAATGGTAAAATCGCTTATCCTTGCGATACATGTGGAAAGGCATTCAGACAAAAAAAAAGTCTCAAAATCCATATCGACTCGGTGCATTTTAAAATCACCCACAGTTGTGACACATGTGGAAAAACATTCAGACATAAGAGAAGTCTCAAAGTTCACATCGACTCGATGCACCATAAAATCACTCATGACTGTGAAGTATGTGGAAAGTCATTCTCATTTAAAGATTCTCTCAAAAAACATATTGAAGCGATACATAATGGTAAAACTCCGACATGCCATATCTGCAGAAAGACGTTCTCTAAAAAGGGTTATCTCCAAACCCACATCGATTCAGTGCATAATAGTGAAAAAAGTTACGAATGTGACGAGTGTGGCAAGAAGTTCTCGCGAAAGGGCAATCTTCAAATCCACATTGATTCAGTACATAATCAGATCACTCATGCCTGTGCTATATGTGGAAAGACATTCAGATACAAAAAAAATCTCAAAAGTCACATCAATTCTGCGCATCTTAAAATCACTCATGTCTGTGAAGTATGTGGAAAGTCATTCTCACTTAAAGGTTATCTCAAGAAACATATTGAAGCGATACATAATGGTAAAACTCCCACATGCGATATCTGCAAAAAGACGTTCTCTCAAAAGAGCAATCTTCAAACCCACATTAATTCAGAACATAATAAGATCACTCATGCCTGTGCTATATGTGAAAAGACATTCAGACAACTTTTAGGTCTCAAATTCCATATCGACTCGGTGCATCTTAAAGTCACCCATAGTTGTGACAAATGTGGAAAGTCATTCGGACATAAGAGCACTCTTAAAAATCACATCGACTCAGTGCACCATAAAATCACTCATGCCTGTGATATATGTGAAAAGTCATTCTCACTTAAAGATTCTCTCAAAAAACATATTAAAGCGATACATAATGGTAAAACTCCGACATGAGATATCTGCGGAAAGACGTTCTCTCGAAAGAGTAATCTCCAAACCCATATAAATTTAGTTCATATTTGTCGAGAAGGTTACGAATGTGATGTGTGTGGCAAGAAGTTCTCACTAAAGAATGTTCTGAAAAATCATATTGATTCCACGCATAATGGCATCACATACCCGTGCGATTTTTGCGGAAAGACATTTTCCCAAAAATGTCATTTGAAAACTCACATCGACTCGGTACATAATAGTCAAAACCTTTACAAATGTGACACGTGCGGTAAGAAATTCTCGCAAAAAGTTCATCTTAAAAGTCATATTAATGCAATGCATGTTTGTGTCACACTTACGCGCGAAAATCATGCGGGAAGACATTTTTAAGAGGTAGCAATCTCAAAAGACACAACATTTCAGTTCGTGATAGTATAATCACCTATCCATGTGACGCCGGTGCAAAGATATTTTGTGCGAAGTTAAAATTTTAAAGCACATGTAAACGGTTAACTCGCTTAACGGTTAACTTACACAATTATAATTTAATCAATGGATACATTTGATATATTCAATTCTGTTCACCGTAAGATCAAGTAATATTTTATATCATATTATAGTATGTTTTTCTGTATTGTACTCTGCTGCGAGTATTTTATGTAAAATATAGTACTCGAGAGTGGGCCATTAGGAGCAATCAAAAAAGTATGCATCATACTCAGTACATCGTCTATTTGAATAAATAATTGAATATTGTAATAATTTTGTATCTCTTAAATTTACGTAAATTTCATAACAGTAATTAAAACCACCAAAAAAAGTTTTTATTCGGAACGACAACATTAAATTTGCTTTTGTTGTATCAATGACGTGCCTACATTTTATTTCGAACCTCTCGAATGTTTATCAACAAAAATTTTCCCATGATACACACACCCATCAAATAATTATAACTCGAGCGAAGTGTGATCGTTTTCGAAAACATCATCGTGTCAACATACTGCCGATTTCAGCCCGTACACGCATACTCAACGGCTCTCGTATACCATACGGAGAATTTGAAACACAACGAGAGAGTTACACGCGCGTGCAAAGAGCTTTCTTTGAAATCGAATAAGACTTATAAGCGCTCGCGAATTTTTTTTCACTTTATCCAAGGCATAATCTTATGCAACGCGTACACGCATACACACGTATACAAGATCTACAGGGCTCGTTGACGCGTTATATCGTACATACATTAATTTGAATACGACATGGAAAAGGTTTATGTTATTTATATATCTCTATTTGTATATCTATATGTATTAATGCACGTGCGCGCACGCATCACACACACACACACACACGCGCACACAAACGCAGAGAAGGTGAATTATTATCACTCTTGCGCGTATGTTTTTTTTTTCGCAAGGTGCTTATACTTTATGTATTTTTGTTTCGCGCACAAACGAATACACCGTGGAGAATAATTTCTATATATGTGTACCCGAGGATGGACCACGTACACTTTCTCGCTTTAATGATTTAACGACACGATCGGTGTGCGCATACATATGCACGGGGCCGTTGTTACGCTTCGACTTTGCTGACGTGTGTATGATATACTTAAATGTTCTCCTCGTGGCTGTATATGCATGTGTACGCGTTTTTACCTGCATTTGTGTATATTTATATATGTCTCTCTGTACAGCTGTGATACACGTTTAAAAAACACGATCGGCTCTCTGGGGGCAGCGGTTCGATTTTGCATATAAGTAAGTATTGTATACCATGCTTATATTGGAAATCGTATCCACGCCACACTCGTGTGTGAAGCCCAAAAAGCAGCAGCCGTTGTGTCACTCATCGACTTTTTTTTTCAAATTTCTTATCGCGTGTTTTCTAATCGAAAACCAAACACGATGAGTAATGTACACAATAATGTATTTTCATACAATGTTCAATAAAATTAGTCGGCTCTCGTATTGTTGTACACTCCTCGTGATCGCTGGTCGCGAGGGCCAGAGCTTACACATCGCTTATACACACACATAATGTATGCGCGCGAGGATCTTCGACCTCCCCGCCGTAATAAAAATCTATATATACATTCACATATAGGCGAGTTCTTTTATCGGCTATCGAGCTCATGGATCGCAGCTCGAGATATATATACAACGGTGCAGTGCAGCAGCAACAGCAGCACGAGCCACTTATGCCACTCACCGCGGACACCCTCCGCAGAAAAAGTACCGCACGAAAAGAGAGACAGAGAGAGAAAAATACGTACACACACACACACACACACACTGGTACATGTGTATTTATATATTACACATTCTGGATTTGGAAGGTACGATAAACTCACCTATAATCGTCGTCCGTAGCTTTCCGAGCGAAATAACGTTTGGCTGGTACTGGCCGTTGTACCGTGCGGGCCCTCCCGACCTCCTGCCGCAGAGTCTCGTCCGCGCGACACGCGGTCTACTGTCGTCGTTCGAGGCATTGACCGCGATATATTTTTGCCTCTCGTATATACGTACACCGTTGGGACTGTCTTGTACACTAATTTTTTTTTCCTTGTTGATAGTCAAAAATGAAAAATATTTGGTTGAAAGAATAACATTTCGTTTGAAAATGATTAGTTCTAATTGCAAAAAGTTGAAAAAATATTCCACGCAAAATATAACCGGTATATTTCGGGTAGATGCATCGGTGCAAAAGCAAATCCGTGGAATTTATAAGCGTAATGGACGTATGAATAATACAAGAGAAATGAAAGAATAAATAAAAGCTTCGCGAGAGCGAGAGAGAGAGAGAGAAAGAGATTTATTTTTATCATCGGAATCTAATAGCTTCCGAGAAAAACAGTAACACAATAGGCAATCGAGATCCGCGCGCAGACTTTTCGACTGTGTAAAAAAGCGCCTAGTTTTTTTTACGCCGCTTGGTGTAAAAGGCATAATGTATCTTTGTGTATTCATTATTGTCGAGTTTATAACGTACTGTTTTGAAGATTGTCGTGCGGTCTGAAACACAAAAAAAAAACGAATTGGTTACAGTAACTAATAGCTTGAAAAACTCGAAATGAACGATAGTTATGTTAATTGAATAGTTTGAACGAGACAATAAAAATTATTACATTTTTTAGCTTTTCATTATAATGTACAAAGATTTACAAATATACCTTAAAATAGCCGCAAACAAGGGTTTAAAAAACAAAGAAAGAAGAAAAAATTCGCCGAACAATATCCCGCAAAATTATTAGATAATCATAAATTGAGGAATTATGCATTTCGGAGAATCCTCGCGCTGCCCACAAGAAAGTTTCCTAGATTTCGGTGATCCGATTGTGTGTGTGCGTGTGTATGTGAGAGAGTCAGAGTCCTCGCGCGCGCCTACACACTCGTAACACGTCGCACGCGCGCGCGGCCAACAGTCGTATCTTGATCAAAAGCTCTCTCGCATGTGTGTGTGTACGGAGGAGCGAGAGATGCGGCGGTGGTTTCTGGTTTCCGAGCTTGTGTGCAGTGTATGTATGTATATATAGCTGCTGCTGCTGCTGCTGCTGTTGCATATGAGAGAAAACATAACTTTTAAGGAGCGCGAGAGCTCGTGTACTTCTTTTTTCCCCGAGACAAATTTCTTTTTTATACACATACGCGCGTAAAGCTGAGAGGCTGCGTTTATGCATTTTTTTGCGCGCGCGTGAGAAATTCTGCCGCGCATAACGCGTGTCAGATCCGCGGACGCGCGCGTCCGCGAAAATATAATATTTTAATAGATCAAAGCTGTGCGCGTGGAAATTTTATACGTTTACGTTTAAATATAATTATCGTTGGAAACGCATCGAGAGTCGCTCGACACACGCGCGTATAATTGACAAGTGGCGGCGCGCGCGCGTGCCGAAAAGAGCATACAGCTCGTTTTCCTTAGTTTCTTAAAATACATAAACAGCGTCTTTTTATGCTGCTTGTACACATACACGCGCGCCGATACTTTCCCAGGCTGATCGACGAAGACGACGACTAGCCGTCCAGGGCCTTTCATCCATCCATCCATCCATCGCGATGCGAGAATCTACTCTCCGAGACTCTTTCTCTCTCTGTGTTCGGCTCGTCGCGCGGCTCGTTAAAGATTCCGCATGAGTTGCCTCGGCTAAAAGATACGCTTGACGTGGACCACCCCAAGCCAAAAGAGCCACTGCGACTCTCTGCTCTCTCTCTCTCTCTCTCGCGAATCAGTGTCACGTGCAACTTGACACGCATATTGGCCCGATCCTATATGCATTAGCTGCCGCTATACACACGCACACATACGCATACAGGGAGAGTTGACGAGAGAGGCTTCAAATGCATTTAACTTGGCTTTTATCTTGTTGCACTTTTACGGAGAATTATTATTTTAAGATTTTTGTGTGTGTGTTTTTTTTATAAATGTGAAAAAAGAACTGCGTGGATATTTATTGCTAAGATGTTTTTTAAATCAACGTGTGAATGAATTTCTGTGAAACCAAATATTGCTTTTAACGATATTAAGGATAGTTAATCTTTAAATACTGTATAGGTACTCTGGTAAGAAATTCCATCAGTTCAGTAGTTCAGCTAATTCATATGCAATGGATTCTAGAGAATTTAACAACCATAATTAGTGAAACTTTAGAATCCTTTTCTTTTGTTGAATTTTCTTTTGTGAACTTTATTCAACTTTTTTCGATTTTGAATGATTGTTTTTTAAATTAAATTGTGACTTGCTTCAATTTTAATTTTTATCAAATTTTTTTCAAGACTTTATTTTCCATGACTTTTTATGCTCTTCTTCTAAATTTTTCAAGATTTTTCAACAACTGATATATGAATAAACATTTATGAGCTTTAGTTTTTTGAGTTTCAGTTTTCGAATTATACTTATTATGAATGTGTTTGATATTAAATTAAGAGATGTTTCTTGTTTGTAACATGAGTAATTCTGTCAATTATATTATGTCTTTATTTCGTACGTGTTCTAACTTTCGATTTGAGGTTTGTAAATAATATCAAATTGAGTTTAAGTTAGTTTCATGGGTAGAGTCAGTCCAGAAACATCAATCGCAAGCGAATTTCTATGTGAAGAAAATGGAATCAAGTGTAGTATTCAATAGTATCGTTAGGTAATTTTTTCACGTAAATTACTCCATCTCGAAATTAATGAACTAGAATTAATAAAAATTATTTCAGAGTTAAAGAAGAACCAATCGACGTGTGGCTCGGTGAAAATGATTACATTGAAATTGACAAGACACCCAATGTCAACAATTTTCAATTCCTAAGAAATCCGCAAGAAAATCAAGTAAGTAATTATGATAACATCATAGCTCATTTATTCATGAAAAATTTCACATAAATTATATTTTATTCAGATTCAAAAATCTGACGAAAATCATGAAAGTGAACTTAGCGACTTGGCGATCGAGTTGGAATGTAAAGACATGAAGCCGAGCTTGGATTTATTAGCAGTTATGAAAATTGAAAATTGTTCTGAAGATCACTCGGCAGCTATTGAAAATTGTAACGAATATCAAACTCAAAACATTAAATTAGAAGCTTTGGATGCAGTAAAAAAAGAATCGTTCGTGGACGACACAAATGAATTGAGTATGAACTCATACTGTGAAATCTTTGCGACAATGAAAAGAAAAACAGTTGTAAAAAATAGGGATTATAAACATAAACTCAAAAAACACATTGTTGACATGCCGAATGGTAAAACCGCTTATCATTGCGATACATGTGGAAAGGCATGCAGACAACGAAAAAGTCTCAAAGACCATATCGACTCGGCGCATCTTAAAGTCACCCACAGTTGTAACTTATGTGGAAAGTCATTCGGACTTAAGAGCACTCTTAAAAAACACATCGACTCGGTGCACCAAAAAATCACTCATGCCTGTGATACATGTGGAAAGTCATTCTCATGTAAAATTTATCTGAAAAAACATATTGAAGCGATACATAATGGTAAAACTCCCATATGCCATATCTGCGGAAAGACGTTCTCTCAAACGAGTTGTCTTCGCACCCACATCAACTCAGTGCATAATGGTAAAATTACCCATTCTTGTGATACATGTGGAAAGTCATTCAGACATCAGAGTAATCTTAAAAATCACATCGACACGGTGCATCATAAAATCACCCACAGTTGTGACTTATGTGAAAAGTCATTCTCACTTAAATATTCTCTCAAAAAACATGTTGAAGCGATACATAATGGTAAAGCTCCCACATGTGATATTTGCGGAAAGATGTTCTCTTGCAAGGGTAGTCTCCAAATCCACATCGCTTCAGTGCATAATAGAACGAAAAGTTATGAATGTGACGTGTGTGGCAAGAAATTCGCGCGAAAGGATGTTCTGAAAAATCATATTGATTCCACGCATAATGGCATCACCTACCCATGCGATTTTTGCGGTAAGGCATTTTCCCATAGATCTAATTTGAAACATCATATCTATTCGATACACAAGGATATCATCTACCCGTGCGATTTTTGCGGAAAGACATTTTCCAAAAAATGGAATTTGAAAACTCACATCGACTCGGTACATAATGGTCAAAAACCTTACAAATGTGACACGTGCGGTAAGAAATTCTCGCAAAAAGTTCATCTTAAATGGCATATTAATGCCAAACATGTTTGTGTCACACCTACGCGTGAGAAGCACGTGGGAAGACATTTTTAAGAGGTAGCAATCTCAAAAGAAAGGTGCAAAGATATTTTGTGCGAAGTTAAAATTTTAAAGCATGTAAACGGTTAACTCGCTTAATGGTTAACTTACACAATTATAATTTAATGAATGGATACATTTGATATATTCAATTCTGTTCACCGTAAGATCAACTAATATTTTATATCATATTATAGTATGTTTTTCTGTATTGTACTCTGCTGCGAGTATTTTATGTAAAATATAGGACTCGAGAGTGGGCCATTAGGAGCAATCAAAAAAGTATGCATCGTCACTAGACCCAGTAAATCATGCTCGGTACATCGTCTATTTGAATAAATAATTGAATATTGTAATAATTTTGTATTTCTTAAATTTATGTGACTTGCTTCAATTTTAATTTTTATCAAATTTTTTTCAAGACTTTATTTTCCATGACTTTTTATGCTCTTCTTCTAAAATTTTTCAAGATTTTTCTACTTCTGATGGCTGTCCATAGACAGCTAACTCAATATTTTAGATTTACTTTTTTATTTAAAAATCGTAACAAGGTGGTAAATGTTATCAATAATAAAGTCAAGCTCTTTATCATTTAATGATGGAGTTTTTTCGTTCCCCGTGGCCTAAATAAATGATAACAAAGAAAAAAAACACAAGATGAAAATACCAGATGCCTGATGCACTGGTACTTGAGCTTAAGTGATCAAATGACACAAGTTTTTGCGCTCGGATAGGTACTGGTACTGGTAGTAGTGAGAAGTGTCGCTGGCAGGTGGCACAAAGTAGAAATGTGTTGCACACAGAAAAAGTTGTAAAGTTTAACCATTAAATCTAAGCTCCTTGTGATGGATCGGATGGACGTTGGACTTAACACATTATTACACTATTGATATCGAAAAAGGCACGATGCTCTGACAGTCCTTCTTGTATCGCTCTCAACAGTCTCGGGAAAGGGCTTCCGCGACTTCATCTCCCACGTCTCGGCACCTCTCTGAGCGCTCTTCAAAATTCCCTGATAACAAATAAAAGAACAAGATATGAGAAAAAATGAACGGGCATGTCCATGATTATTGTATTGAAAAATTATTGCGCCATGATTATTTTTGTACAAGTATTTTTACCAGTATTTGAATTCGCAAAACATACGATCAACCCTTACGAAGAATAGAGTTCAAGCAAATAAAAGCACGGAGATAGGCTCGCCTGTTACATACTCGTGCTCCCTCTTTGTTAATAAGGATATACATACGAAAGAGAGAATGAGAGAGAACGGAGAAACCGATGGGAGAGAAGGAAAAGAAGAAGAAGAAGAAGTACGGGAGGCGCGAGAAAACGCGCAAGAAATAATTGCTTCGTGGTTCGTAAAAGCGGCCGAAAAAAAGGGTAAAATAAAGCAGAGATAAAAAAAAATCGGGTAGACTAAGAGGAATCGGCAAGTGCAGATTCGAGATCAAATACAAGTGAGAGAGAGAACTAGAGAGGAAGATGTCTTCGCGCACATGGATTCGAACGGGAGGATGTACGATTGATTGGGCTGGTATAATGAAGCACCGACGGGGGCTAACGCCCGAGTGATTATCTCGTAATTAATGAAACGCGCACCTCGTTTGTTTTTTTTTCTTTGCCTGTTTTTTTTTTGTCTTGTTTCGTATCGTTCATCGAGAGGAAGTGTAACACGGAGCAATGACACGATACAAATGTAATTTCGCGTGCGCGCGTATATATGTGTTTGATCGATCCTTTTCCGATGTTTACCGGCGAGCATATAATTTACACAAATCCGCGCGCGATCGAGATACAAAAAAAATGCATCGAATACGATGATAAATCATTGCCGATGTCCGCACTTATTTTTACCTAGTTTCACATAAATTTCTACATGAAAAAAAATAAATGAATAAAAACGATTGATTATCATTGCAACTCGAGTTATTGCATTTCTTTTCGATGTCTGCTGCTGCTGCTGTATATAGCATATTATAAATCACAATATGAGAGATTTTTCGAGACAACTCGTCGTCGCGCAGCAAATTCTCAGGAGATACGTACGTGAGTCTGATATATCAACCGAGACTCCGTGGCTGCTTTTCTGCCTTTTTTTCCAGGTTAACACTGTTCCCTTTCAGAAACTCTTTGTTTCTAATTTCGAATAAAACACACGGACACGCACACACGCACGTGACAGCAGTTAGCACGCGAGGCGCCGTGTGTACTTGCTTTATGGCGTACGTACTATAAATTCTACGCATGACCTGGACCCGTGTGTGTGTGTGTGCCATGAGGTAATTATATTTTCTCAAACATGTACGAAATTATTTCAGAGTTTAACGTCGAGAAAGTTTAATAATTTGCCTTATTAGTTTTATAAAAAATATCTTTGGAACTAGCTTAAAATTAAAAATCGATATTTTTCGCGAGTCGACTAAAGTCCATAAGAAAATACTTGGAAAATGATTTATCGTATCGTTTCGTTGATAAATGTATCGCGGTGTCACTCGATCCGCCGTTGAATTTTTGAGTGCTTCGATCAATCTCAAATTATTCAATCGCACGTACGTACACGTGCATTAATTAACAAATCATCGCGGACGTCTACACCGTAAGATAATTACCCATGTAAATGATATGCGCGTGCATACCCACTTGTTAATACGGCGAGCGGTGTAAAAAATTTATTGCACTTCAAATACGCGCGTAAACTCGTAACATAAAAGTCAGAGATCGTGAAACGCGCTTAACGAATGGGATATAAGAGGATTTTTCTGACAGATATATATTTATAAAAATGTATATTCGTTCGAGTCAGCATCTCTCTCTCTCTCTCTCTCTCTCTCTCTTTCCGAGCTTAGCAAAATTTACGTTCAAAGGTATCGACCTAATTAGTCAAGGCGGTGAGCAATGCTTGGCAATTCACTGACGTTACTCTCCGTGTGCAGTAGCAGCAGTAGTAGAGCATTTCATCGCGATGAAGTGGCTCGAGCTTCTAATGAGGTGTATATACTTTATATCCAGGATGTGGTTGCCAGTATAACTTGTTTGATGGCTTGCCAGTTTGTTTCTCTTTTCTTTCTTTTTTTCACTAATTTACACATTGTAATAATATTATTTATACCGGTCGCTAATTTATCGATCTCTCTCTCGAGTAATTGACTTTTTTTTCTGCACGATTGTAAAACATTTATGGTTCTCGAGCAAAGGAATTCGGAAATGCAACAGTGGATGCGAAAAGGTCGTAAAAAAGTAAACAAGCGTAGATATAGGAAACATTTCTAAGCCTAATAAAAACGAAAATTACTTTTAGAAAAACTCTCGGCTGTAATTGCGACATGTTTTCAAGTACGTATATAATTGCGCGTCGTTTTGGAAAAACGCGTCTCTCTCTCTCTCGGTTCATTCGCCGCGCGCTCGCAGGAAAAGAGAAACAAAGGCCCATATACAGAGGATGCGCGCAAAGTGCAATACAGGAGAGAGAGAGAGAGAGAGAGAGAGAAAGGAGAAGGGTCTTTACCTATAAGTGCACACACATAGCAGCAGCAGCGGATGGATTGCAGCTCCACCACAGCAGAGCCGCAGTATATACAGAGAGAAAGAGAGAGAGAGACAGAGAGAAAACGAGGAGGGAATTGCTGCTGCTGCAGGTGGGAGGCGCATGAATAAGTCCGCGAGAGATCCCCGACCATTGGCTTGGATGCGTTTGGGCGAACCAAACGAGGCTACTTTTTCCTCATTGGTCGTGCCGGGGGATCGGTATATACGTATAACGAAGAGAGAACAGCCGAGAGGCAGAGAGAGAGAAAGAGAGAGAGATAGACAACAGCAGCGCGCGAGCTTCGAAACGAAATAATAAAACCTCGACCTCTCTTTTCATCTATCTATCTATCTCTCTTTCTCTCTCTCTCTCTCTTTTATTTCAGTTCGATGATAAAATATAATATGAAAGGCTATTCGTTAGCCAGCCCATATAGCTGCAGCCCGAGTGCTCAGCCATGGCAGCTCGATCGCGCGAGCGCATTGTCGATTCCAAAAAGCAAAAAAAAAAATATTCTCTCTCTCTCTGTACCGAGTAGAGATGCATCGTGTATGTACGTGTGTGTGTCTATATGCACATGCAATGCTATGTCTGATGTGGATATTGGATAGTGATTTTCCATCTTTTTTATACCTCTTATATTACATCAGTTTAATGTACGTAAGGGATACACATATATCTATACTTCACCTCGTAAAGAGGGAAAAATAAAGAAAGATAAAGAGCAAGAGAGAAAGAGCGAGGTATGATAATCTGGTGCACGTGCAAAGCGCAGTGCAGAGGTAGAGGTATATGTCGATTCGCAAGTACGAGAGTTAACGCAGGCGTGTACGTACGCCTCGATGTTAATAAAAGTTTTTTTGAGAGGTCGCGTCGTCGTCGTCGTCGCCGGCCGCGATTGTTATCAATTAATTTTGGGCATCGGCGAGCGCTCGCGTCGCGTTTGGCAAATTTCGTCGAGAGTCGAGCTTTTTATCGTGCCTCGTATAATATATGCCTCGAGATTCGGTGTGTGTATAATTTTCGTTAAGTACCTCGGGTATATTACCGAGACACGATATACAAAGTATGTAATATGTAATAACGCTTGTATGAGCTAGTTGAGAGATAACGTTAATTGCCTTCTGTTGGGAATCGCGAGGAATTCGAGTGTGGCGCGCGGGGGAAAAAAAAATTGTACTCGAACGCGAAAAAAATGATTCGTTGATGGTGGGCTGTGTCGCGCGGGGCTTCGATCGATGATCAGCTGATGAGCTGAATTTTATCTCGTTGATAGAATTAACGAATGTATCGATTGAACAAAAAATATTAAGAACCTATCGATCACGATGTTTTTCTAAATGCTTTATCCGTACTTCCACTGACGAATTACTTCGTTCAAAACCCTTGCTTTACTTATACAATTATGTTTCCTTTGACACTTGCAGATTTACGAGTAAAGGTACTCGCCATCTAGCGATGATAACTGAAAGCGATGAAAACTGATTTAAATTTTTTGAAAGAGATTAATTTTTCATCTCTAAGTCGCTTTAAATGCACTCGACCTTAAAATCGTAAAAACCACCAAAAATAAGGTAATAAATAATCGCACACTTTAAAATATTTCAAATTGTCGTTTTTCGGTCATCAGGCCATTATTAACGTTCAGCGCTTCTACAGCTGGGACGCGCGGATGAAATTTCCAAGACGTTTTCATTGCATAATTCACACACGCGCGCGCAGGTGAATCGCCTATTCATACGCAATTACAGAACGAAGAAAACGAAACAAAAGAAGAATCGGAACGAACTTTTCCCCTCGCGTGCCTCGTGAGTCCTGCGTATGAAT